CAGCGGTGCATTGTGGGTAGAAACCTGGGGTCACTGTGAGGCTGGCCCCTCCGGCTGGCCCTGAACTTGGGCCTGCTGGGGACTGTGCCAGTCTACGCCTGACAGTGCCCAGCAAGGGCCTGACCCCCCCAGACCTCAGGAAAGCAGGCCGAGTGCAGAGCCTGGGGCAGGACCCTCGTGCCTGTTGGTGACCCTCACTGGTGCCTGGGGAGAAGGGCTGGGCACCCACTCTTGTGCAGCACAGGGGACGAGGGCCTGGACCCTTCCCAGGATACGACATCACATCTAGCTGTCAGACAACCTCAGGGCCACCGTGTTCCGGGGGCCTCTGCCCCACACCAGCGGCGCCGAGTGCAGCAGCTAAGATGGCAGCAGAGCGCCCCTGGGGCAGGAACGGAGCACAGCCAGGGCCTAGCTGCCCCCACTCCTGCCGCGGCTGCCACACGTCCCCCTCTGGTTCTGGAAACACCCACAGGGACTGTTGTAGAGACGGGACAAAGGGCAAGAGTGCGCACAGCCCCCCTGAGGCCAACCCGAGGAGACAGACGGCTGACCGGTGCACGGCTGACCGGTGCACGGCTGACCGGTGCATGGCTGACCGGTGCGGCACCGCAGCCCAGAGCCCGCCCAGAGGGAGGGGCACGGCACCGGGCGCGGCACCAAGCGCCAGCTGAGCAAGGAGGGAAGACGAGCGGGCCTGCTGTGACTCGGCCACAGGCGTCCGGGAGGCGGCAAGAAAGCCCTCAGAGTGGAGGTGACCCTTGGGGCGGGGGGCTGACCCGCAGGAGGGGGCTCCAGGGAACAGGGGAGCCAGCACGCTCGTGTGCCTCCCGGGCGCCGGGGTCAGGGCAGTGGGACGCCGCCCTCAAAGCGCTGCTTTCAGGGCTCTGAGGGCCTCTGGGGAGGAGGGGTCCCCCTCCCAGCACCCACACCAGAGCAGCACCAGCCAGCCCAGCAGCCACGCCCCAGCCGCGGAGTGGGGTCCCGGCGGCCCGCAGGCCGCAGTCCTGGGCTCGCTCACACAGAATGCACAGGAAGGAAGGAGTGCAGACAGCCTGCCCGTGGCCCCCGGCACCCCCAGGCATCACACGCCGGACATCCAGGAAGAAAACCGAGGCCCTGGAGGAGGGCACCACCGGGCCGCACTCTCCGTCCCGGCCCTGGCCTGGAGCCCAGCTGGGCAGTGACCCGAGGCCCCCTGGAGGCCCATGCCCTGTGCCATCGCCCAGCTTCCCCAGGCCACATACCGGGAGCCCACAGCAAGCCTGGGCTAGCCCGTAACACTTTCTAAAAACGTGTTTTGCTGCCAACGCTTCACAACCAAGAGACCTCACACAAAATATGGGTTTCCAGATTCTCTTGAAAAACCGGATGTTTGGGGTGACGACCGTCCCGCCTGGCATGGCCATCAGAGGCAGGGCCACTCACAAGCAAACTCAGCCTAGCCCCGGGGCCCTGCACAGGGACAGGGTGGCTTGGGACTGGCCCGGAGGCGTCCCTCGTCAGCCCACAGGGCAGGGAGTGACCTCAACTTAGCTTTGCAGAAAGGGAGAGTCAGTCAGAGACAGCCCCAGGCTGGGGAGGGGCCGGGTGGCACAGGCTGGCAGAAGTCCAGGGCCTCTTTTCTCCCTGCCTACCTGGGTACCTGGGCTGACTCCTGAGGGCTCAAGGACTCAGCCCAGGGCCACCTTGGGAATGCCCGTCAGAAGCCATGGGTCCCTGGAGGCCACAGCGGGCTGGGGTGGGCGGGGCACACACACAGGCTGGGGATGTCAGCCCAGGAGGACAGCCGGCCTGGGAAAGGGGGGGAAGCAGGTGGTGTGCAGGCCTCTGGGGAAGGGCAGGGGGCTGGGGGCACCCCCAGGCAGCTCTGAGCAGCTGAAGTTGGCAGGTCTTAAATTAATGGGCTACACTTTTATATGTTGGCGGGGGGGCGAGGAGAGGGGGGCGGCTGGCCCAGGGCCATTTCTGTCCCTGAGCTCCTCAGTCACCTTTAAAAGCCAGGAAGGCGTCGCACTGAAGCTGGGGAGGGGCGGGGCCTGGCCAGCACAGCAGGCCTGCTTTCTAGGTCCAGCAGTGCTTGGCGTCATCACGGTGCAGGCTCTAGCACGACAGGTCAAAGGGCAGAAGGCGTCTGTCCCCTCCACCCTGTCCCTAGGAGCACAGTGGAGCCAGCCCTGGGCAAGCCTCAAGGCAAGAAGGGTGCGGATTTCACCCTGAGGGCCTGGTGCTCCCTAGGGCCCCAAGAGAGGCAGTCAGGCGGGCCAGCAAGGCGGGCCACACCAGACGCCCCCCAAGGGTCACCCTTCCTGACTCACTCCTGACCTCAGTCAGCCCATCGCCAGGATGAGGCCTACATGGGAGGAATGAGGAAGGAGGGCGAATCCTGCAGCCCCAGACCAGGCCCCACCACAGAGTGGCCCACGCCAAGCCGGGCAGTGACCCTTTCGGGGTTCACGGCTGCAGGGCTAGGGAGATCAGAGGTGGGCAGAGTGAAATGGAAAACTGGAAGCCTGGTAAGGGGCGGTGGGGTGGGGGCGGGCACTTGCCCCTGCCCTTCTCCAGACCACAGCTGCAACATGGGCGGTGGGACAACAGGCCTGAAAGGCTCCGTAGGCGGGCGGAGGGCAGGAGCACATGCCCAGCCTGGCCCCAGGGCACAGCAGGGTCTGTCAGTGGCCCCCCGGAGTCTGGTGGGGGTAGAGGGCGAAGCAGTCAGGCAGGGGCCCAGTGCCCAGACCTGGGGGAGAAGGATCACCAACGAGGGTGTCTCCGTTTTCTCTCCCCAAGGGGCCTGGCACAGGGAAGGCTACGACAGACGAGCGGCCGGAACCAGCGCGCCGCGCCGGTGCCTCTGCTGCGGTGGCTCAGTCCCCACTGACACGCGGCCGGGAGGAGCCTCGTGCCCTCTCCGCACCTCCGGGGCGGAGCAGGAGGACGCCGGGCCAGGCCAGCGCACCTCCGCACCCTCCCCGCCACGGCTCAGGGCGACTGAGGCCCGGGCGGCTGGGGGCGGGGGACCGTGCTGAGCGCAGCCTGTGTGTGAGGGGTGAGTGACTGACTGGCCCAGGAGTGCACAACCACGCGCTGCTTCCCGGACTCCCTCTACTCAGGCAGGGGATGTCGGGGGTGGCAGGCGGCAGGCCGAGAGCGCAAGGCGGGGACACATCTCTAAGGGCGAGCCTCAAAATCAACACGATCTCCCCAACTTGAAGACCCACTGCAGCCCCCAAGCACAGCCCACCCTCTACCAGGCCCGGTGATCTGGAGCAGAAGGAGCCGGCACCAGCAGGGGGCTTTGGGGCGGGGTGGGGTCTCCCTCCAGCTGTGAATCCCCGCCAATGCCAACATCCACCGAGCCTCAGTTTCTCCTCTTTGGGAGGGGGCGGGGAGGCAGAAAAGCAGGAGCAAACAGACTCCCACCCAGGTGGCAACGGGGGCAGAGGAGTGGGACTTTGTTCTTGGCGTGTGGGGGGGTGGGGGCGGTGAGGCCTGAGCCTGAGGGCGCAGGCAGGAGGCAGGGCCGGACCAACCCGTCCTCCCAGCCTCCCAGGGTGGCCCGTGGGCGCAGACAGCGCCTCAGCCAGCTGCAGGCCCCACCAGCCATCAGAAGGGACACTCCCAGCCCAGAAGCCCCACCTGGTGGAGGGGGCCAACCCTGGGTGCTGCATCCAGTCCTCCCCACCGGGAGGACACAACTGGCCAACACGTCCACGTCCCCGTCCCCGGTGCTCCGCTGGCCCTATCCTCTCCCTTCCCCACCACGTGCACTCCCTGGTGTGGGAGGAGGGAGCATGCTGGGGGGCGGGTTCTACCCCAGGACCACAAGCAGCACCCCCACGCCCTGGCCAGGGCGGGGCGGGCAGCACTGGGGAACAGAGCTCTGCAGACGGGGCGCACGGGGGCCGCCTGCCCTTGCCCAGCAGTGAGCCGGGTGGTCGGGCCAGCAGGACTCAGCCTCACGAGCACCGTGGCCAGAGCCCCCCGGTGCCCCACCATCAGCAGCCAGCCCAATGGCCTCGGGGCCAGCGCAGCACAGAGCCTGCACCTCCAGATTTCTCTCACAGACAGGGACTTGAGGCTTGGTGGGGTGGGCGTGAGAGCCTTTCCTGAGGTCACAAAGCCAGCAGGCAGTGGGATATCATTTCCAGGGCACCCACTGTGGCAGCTGGGGAGACCCCCCCCCCCCCCCGCACATCCCAGCCCAAAGGCCGAGAGCAGGCCTGGCCCCTGCTGGCCCCGGGCCCAGCCCCCACCCACGGGCACTTGAGGGCGGAGAGCTGTGTCAGCACCAGGCCTCAGGACAGCTGTTATTTCATCCACAGCAGGCCCGCCCCGGCCTGGACCCCACCCGACCACCAAGTTGGGCCTTCCCCCCTCCCGCCCCTCCAGGGAGTCCTCCATGCCCAGCTCCAGACTAGCGCCACGCAGCCTAACTCTCGCCGGCCCCTCAGGCGGTGTCGGCCTCACGCGGAGGGCCCCAGAGCGGTCTTCACTGCGGTCACCACGTTTTGCTCACGCCCGGCGGGGTGGGGGTGCAGGGCACTGCCCTTGCCCTGCCCTTGGCCTTGCTGTCTCTATGCAGGGCCGGGGCGGGGCCCTGCACTCTGCAGAGCGCTGCCTCAGCAGACACTGGATCCCCAGAAGAGGAGGGGGCTGTGCGCGCATGCCCTGGCCCCCCCCACACAGCTTTCCCAGGAGGCTGTCGAGTGTCCTCTGAGAGCCCCTCTGCGCCTCCAGGGGGTGGCAGGGTGGCCAGATCCCTACCACAGCTGGCCCCTGGGCCCCAGCCAGGGCTTCTACAGGGGGCTGACAGTCCCAGAGGGGCCAGGAGAAGGAGGCGCACAGGGGCTCAAGCTGGGATCCTCAGGGGTCCCCCCGCCTGTCTGAGCCCTTCGTGATCACAGGACCCAGCACTGAAACAGCACCCCCGGCTCCTGACGTCACAGAGCAAGGCCCTCTCACGCCCCGGGGCCCCCTCCGCCCCCCGCAGGCCTGACCTTCCGAATGCGGCCGCTGCGCGTGCCTGCGAACACCACGGTGCGACCCCGGTAGGCGTAGGCAGCCACAGCGGTCAGGCCGTCGTCCTTGTCCACAAACAGGGGTGTGCCCTCGATGGTGACCGTGCCCCCCAGTGGCTGGTTGAAGTCCTGCCCGCAGAAGTCGTCGTCAATCTGCAGGGGCTGTGGGAGGGGAGAGGGTCAGGCCTGGAGGCGCCCTGCTCATCCCGAGGCCTGCTCCTGGGGACAGCCAGGGCGGCCCCACCACACCTGCGGTGGGCACTGGCCAGCCAGGCCGTCCTCGCGGGGCCTGGCCCGCACAGCTGACAGCAGTCCAGGCCACACACACCTGCTGCACAGGGCCTGCCAGAGGTGTCCCATGGAGCCCCGGCCAGGGCCCTCTGCACCTGTGATGGCCTCAGAGGACAGCCCGGGGCTGGGGAACAGGTACGTGGAGGCTAGGCCAGGGAGGGCCGCTGGGAACCGGAGCCAACGGTCACCTCTAAGACAAAGGAAGGGGCCCAGCCAAGAGGAGTGGCCCAGGCTCCGGAGGAGACGGGGCAGAGGGGCAGGCCCTGCGAGGCAGGGGCCAGGGGACAAGGGCAGCTGGCTGTTCCTGCAGCAGACTGGGCAGGTGTGTGGGCAGGAGGCCAATCCAGGAGCAGGGGAGCCACAGGGGGCTGGGCCCAGTGTCCTGGGGTGGTCACTGGCACCTGGCCGGGGGCCATGAGACCAGAGGCACAAAGCCCAGGACGGGGCAGGCCCAGCTGTGGGCACAGGGGTGCAGGCGACCATGTGACCTGGGCAGGCTGTGGCTGCATCCATACAGCAGAAAGCAAAGGCCTTCCTCGGAAGGCCAAGGGGGGCGGGCGCACAGGCGGTGGCGGGGCCTCGGCGTGGAGGATGCCCGTCACCACGGGCCTCCATAAGCTAGTGACAAAGACGGGCTCACGGGGTCCTCATGAGCCCATTCTGCCCTGAAAACAGACCAGTGTCACCTAGTAGACAGACAGGGAACCTGGGGTCAGAGAGGGGCCGGGCCTCTCCGAGGCCACCCAGAAGTCCCTAAGAAAGGGGCAGAGCGTTAGGCTGGCCCCGAACTGGGCGACATCCTGGCTCTGTCACCCACTGCCCTAAGAAGCGGCCAGTCCAAGGTCAGCCGTGAGGCCAGAGCCACTGCGGTGCCACCCGCAGTTTCAGCACGTGTGTGCCGGCTACCGAGCATGAGCAGGCAGCCACGTGCGCCGCCCACGTCACCGGCTCCCCTGCGGACCGGGCGGGCACCCGGCCACGTGACTAGGGCCGGGGTGAGCCGCGCTCTGGCCCACCGGCCCGGGCCTGCTCCCGGCTGTCTCTGCTGGCCGTGGGGCCTCGGCAAGACCCCTCACCTCTCTGAGCCTCAGTGGCCTTGCCTATAAAATGGAGACAAGACGGGCGGCAAGCACCTGGCCAGCACCAGGCATGTGGTCAGCACGTCCAGTGCGGCCCGCGCACTACGGGCCAGGCCCTGCCTCCTGCCTCCGAGAGGAACAGGGTCACGGGGGTCAGGAGCAGGCCTCGGGGCCAGCACACGAGGGCACCCGGATCTCAGCTCGCCCGGGCGGGCGGCCGGCATGGCCGTCTGGAACGAGCCCAGGGCTGCGCAGGGCGGGGACAGCTGCGGCTGCGGCTGAGATGGGCGCGGGGCCGCAGGGGGCGGGCGGGGCTCACTCACCGAGTTGATGCAGCCCAGCTCCTTGTTGAGCAGCCAGGGCAGCGAGAGCTTGCCCTCGCCGCGGTAGCAGGAGCGGATGCGCTCCTTGATCCGCTCCTTGATGGCCCTGAGCGTGAAGAGGCACAGCACGGACTCCTTGGGCGGCTTCACGCGGTTCTTCTGGCCTTGGGCAAACACGGTGAACAGCACGTCCTCGTCCTCGGCCAGGCCCAGCTGGTGGGCCAGGGCGCGGCCGGGGCGGCTCAGGTAGGCGTCCTGCACCAGGCGGTACTCCACCCCCGCCTGCTCGCAGCCGATGGGGAACTCCACGTAGGAGTAGAACTTGGGGTCGTCCACGCAGAGCCGCACGATCTTGGAGGTGAAGAAATGCTCGCCGGCGGCGTCGGGCGAGGTCAGCTGCGTGTCCAGCTGCAGGGTGAGGTAGTACACGAACTGCTCGCTGCGGAAGCTGTACACGTAGTAGATGTCAAAGGCCGGGAACTTGGACAGCGTGTCTGACGGGATCTTGAGCTGGGAGGACACGAACTCGTCCTGGTACACGAAGCCAAACATGTCGGCGTCCTCCTCGTTGGCCATGAGCCGGCGGCTGGACAGCGTGGGGAAGTACTCGGACTTGCCGTCGATAGGCGTGCCCACGAAGAGCTTGGCCTGGCCCTGGCCCGGGGGGCCGGCGATGAGCACGCCCGCCATGCTGCCCGCCTCCCGCACGCTCGACAGGTAGTGCTCCTTGCGGTGGTGGGGCTCGCCCAGCTTGAAGAGGTCGTCGAGCCGGAGGAACTGGCAGATGCCCTGGGAGGCGCTGCCGCAGGCCAGCAGGCGGTTGGCGGCATAGTCCAGCAGCAGCAGCTTGTTGACGTTGTCGGTGCTGCCCAGGCCGTGCGGGCAGGACTGCACGCTGGGGGGCGGGTAGCACTTCTCGTTGTCCTCCACCGGGCCCGTCACGTGGGCCCGCAGCAGCGTCAGGTTCCCCGACAGCTTGTAGATGCGGTTCACCGCGCCCACATAGACCTCGCCCGTCTGCTCGTGGACCACCAGGTGGGTGAGGCCCCAGTCACTGGCCGCGAAGGTGCGGAAGGCAGGCCGCGGGCCCCCACCTGTCCTGGGCGCACCCGCGGCCGCCCGTGCTACCCCCAACAGCAGCAGCAGCAACACCGGGAGCGCCCGAGGGCTCAGCCGTGGCAGCAGCATGGCGGGCCAGGGCCTCAGGCTGAGGTGCGCAGGTCCTACGGGGGCGAGCATCACGGGGCGGGGAGCCTCCACCCTGTGGGGAGAACAGGCAGGCGAGGGTCGTGAGCGCGGGCACGGCCCTCACCCACAGGCGGCCACGTGCATGCGCGCCGCCTCCCGAGTTCTCTGCGAGGGCCCCTCTGTCCCCGCTCCACCTCCAGGGAGCACCCAGCCCCCAGGACAGCGGAGGCCCACAGAGGGCGCCTCCCAGCTCACCGCTCCCAAGACCAAGCCGTCTCTGGGGCAGTGCCACGCCCCACCGGCCCAGGACAGGCCTGGGCCCAGAACAAGGAGGCGGGTGACAAGGGCCTGGGATCCAGACTGGGCACTCAGGCAACACGCCAACTTGGAGACCACCACCTCCCGACTCAGCCGTCACCCCCACCTAGCTCCTCACGCCCCGGCCGTGGCTCTGGGGACACGTGGCCCTCTCGGGCCCTGACGGCCCTCCTCGCAGCACTTCCCACCGAGACAAGCTACCCAGGCCCTCCACTGACTGGCTGGCCCAGCCAGACCCCTAACCGAACCGGGAGCCCTGCCTCCAGGAGTGACCCAGAAGCCAAGGTATGTCCGCCTCTACCCACGGCTCCCACTTCAGCCAACCGGCGCGGCCCACTTCCCTCTCCCAGCTCCGACCTCAGGCCCCTTGGGCAGCTACCTCGCAAAGCCAGAACCCAAGGAAACAGGAGATCCTCCAAAGAGGGGAGAGGGGTTCCGGAAGCCCGCCCCGCGGCGGCCTCTCCCTGGCCTCCAGCACCTCCGCCCTGCCCAGCCCCTGCCAGCCAGCCCAGAGACTCAAAGCCATCTGCCCCTCCCGGCACACGGGGCCTCTGCAGCTCGCCCCAGGCCCCACCTTCACCACCACGTCCGGCGGCTTCATCCCAAATCTGCTCCCACTTGGGTCAGCACTGACCTCAACTCCCAGCCCCACCCATGGCCACCAACAGCCCCGTGTCCTCATAGCAGCCTGGCCCGCTTTACTCAAGTGCCCCTGAGGTCACCAAGTCCCCAGCAGTTGACAGCTGGACAGCAGGTTAACCAGCCTGGCTCTCTGTAGCCACAGGCCACAGCAGGGCTCATGCGTCCTCCCCCCCAGTCTCAGTGCCCCCTGTAAACGGGGATGAGAGCATCTCCTCTCATGGGTAGAGGGCGGGAGGCTGGGACACACCCAAAAGGTGCCATCCTCGGAATACCCACTGGGAGCCAGCAGGGGCCTGTCCCGACTGCCAGGGGCGCTCGCTCCTCCTGACTGGAAACCCATGCCAGCCAGGCTGCTCCCAGCAGGGCGTGCAAGAAGCCAGGGGCCCATTTTACAGGTGAGGGAGCTGAGGCCCAACAGGCAGGCCTTCTACAGGCCCAGTGCGGCACACGGACAGACTAGACAGGACCCAGCGTGCCCGAGAGCGGGGCTTCCGCTGCCTGCCCAGGGCTACTCACCGTCCCCTCGACTGGGACATACCTGCTTGGGGCTCAGTGGAGTGGTCTCCCTGACCTGCTAGCTGAAGGCAGCAAGGTGCCCTCTCACTCAGTCACCCCATTTAACCTGCAACCCAGGACCTGCCAGTGGCTTTGTGACTTCCATGTCCCGACCACTCTCCCACTAGGAGGAAACTCTGTGAGAATGTCTGGCTCTTGGTTTGCTTTTGTGCCCCCAAAGCCACGCCTAGTCCCAGGAAGTCCTGAGAGTGAATGAAGGGCAGGGCAGAGCAGGGCCAGGGCCTGCCCATGCCCACCACTCAGGTGGACACTGAGACTCAGGGAAGCGAGGGGCCTGGGCAGCGTCCCCGGCAAAGAGAACAAGGGCACCCTGCCTTTGAGGACTGTCCCAGCAGGCTGCCAGCTGCCCAGACATCACCCCAAGAACTGAAGGCAGCAGGGGCCTCCAGAGGTCAGGAAAGGAGTCCTCTGTCCCCAGCCTAACTTCCCGCCCCCACCCCCACGAGCTCAGGAGACCCAGGCAGCGGTGAGCGGGGGAACAGGCTCCTCGCAGGGCCTGGGCTGAGCACTGAGTAGATGTGAACTCCAGAGAAAACATGAATCACTCACCGTTTATCAGTTCAAAGCAGGCCTGCAATTACCAGGGGCCGGGCTTGCCCCTCCTCCGGGATAATTATACACGTCTTAATGCAATTACGGGCCCTACTTTTTATATTAAACAGGAGAGACCCAGCTGAAGAAGCCACCATCCAAACTCCAGCCTGGCCCTGGGCCTGCTCCCCTCCCCCAAACATAGGCTGCCAGGAAGGGCCTGGCCAGGACATGGGGCTCTGGCCTGGAAAGCAGGGATCCCAAGCCCCGGGGAAGGAGCCCCTCATGCTCACCATCCAATGAGGACCAGCAGACCCCTCGAGGTCACTTTCCCTCTCTTAGAGATAAGGGCTCAGGGCGCTGATAGACCCAAGGTCACCCGGCCATTCCTGGCAGGACAGGCATGGAATCCCAGACTCCTACAGAATCCTGGACACTCGACCGACCTGCTGAGTGCTACTCCCACAGGCCCCGAGTGCACCCAGGAGAAAGTGCCTTCATGCCAAAGCTGGCCTGGTGCTGGGGAGGGCCGAGCAGGGCGGGGGAAGGGCTCAGCAACAGACGCTGGCCTGGCGGCGGGGAGGGGGCCGAACCAGCCACTGTGGTCTGGAGATGTCCCCGGGGGGCCTTTCCACCTGTTCGGGAAGGACCAAGCACGTGGGAGCTGGCAGGGAGGGGGCACTCTGAGCGCAAAGCGGCAAGAGGCGTGATTTTGGGTGGAGCCTGCTGGCCCACTCGGGGGGCGCCGAGAATGACTGCGCTTCCAGCTCAGGCTGTGCTGGGGGCTCGGCACGGCTGTGCTGGGGGCACAGCTGACGTCCCGGCTGCGGCCTGGCCAAGGAGACAGAGGCCAGACCAGAGGCAGTGGGGCCACGGTGGCGGGCTGCACTCCTGGGCAGGTGGGCTCGGTCGTCCAGCGGGGCGTGGAGACAGCAGCAGGCCCTTTCCCCTCCTGGCCCCGGGCCACTCCTCCTCACGCAGAGAAACAAAGGGCTGAGAGCCCACATCAGGGGGAAATCCCAGGCCCCGTCCCCTTCCACTCACGTGTGGGTGCGCACAGGTTAGGGAACAGGGGAATGGAGAAGACACTGCCTCCTGCTCGGTGGGACCCCACAGGTGACATGGGGAGAGGGCAGTCTCTGTCACCCACCTCCCCAGCATCCCGCTATGGATGCGATGAGTCCTGCCGATCGGGAGCTGGAGCCCCTAGGATCCCGATTCCCAGCTCGGAAAAAGTGCCCACCCCTTCAAGTGTGTCCTCCTGGCCAACTACAGACACAGAGGAGGACCCGAACATACAGGCCGCCACCGGGGGCCAGAGGAGCCCAGCCAAGAGCCCTCTGCTTTGTCCACAGTGCCGGGTTTGTCCCCCACGCCCGAGCACCACCTCAGCCACGCACGGGCTTCAGAGACCTGCCTGTGCTCCCTCCGCCTGAAACACCGCTCCCGGGTCTCCCAGGTCACCTTCCCCAGCTGACCTGCGGTCTCGCCCTGGAGCAGAACCGCTGGTTCGGTCTGCCTCTGCCATGGAACTGTGTGCTCCGCAAGGGCTGGGCAGGCTTGGCTGCCTGGTGCAGGAGGTGGCCTCTCCTGCACACCCCAAACCAGCAGGGAGCCACGGGGGCCCGGGGCTGCTCCCCAAGGCCCAGAGGAGCAAAGGCTGAGCCCCACCTGTGCACAGACCTAGACCCAGAGACCCAGAGCCAGCTCCCGGCATGGAAAGAGGTGGAGCAACAGAGGCACAGCAACCCGGTAGGCTTCGGGAGCAGAGGCACTGTCCACATATCCCCCAACACATACACACACCCCTTTCTTTCAAGGGGCGTGGCCCCAGCACCCCACAGATGAGCCAGGGGCAGCTACAGGCTCTCAGGAGTCACCGGACCCCTCTCACCGGCCTTTCTCTGCTACACCTGGGCTCTCACAGCCGGCAGGGGCGTCCCTGGAGCGCGGCTCCCCCTACCCGGAGGCTTCCCCGAGGCAGCTATGCCGCACTCCAGGCCCGGGACTGTCCAGGAAGCAATCGGAAGCCTCAGAGGAAAGCAGACTGACCCCGGAGAGGCCCTGCGAGGGGGAAGCCGAGAAGGCCCTGGCGAACGGGGCGGCCTCCCGGGCGGCACCCACACCGCCCCCTCCCAGGCTGGGTGCGCGGCCCTGCAGGCCTGGGGTGGACACGGCGCCCATCTCCTCACACCCTGGGCAGAGGGGGCGGATGCGGGCGCTAGTCCCGAGGAAGCGACTCCAACTTCCACCCCGGCGCCCCGAGGGCCGGCGGAGGGCACAGCT